AAAAAAAAAAAAAAAAAGAAAAGAAGAGCACTACCATTTGAATCATAACAACAAGAGCATCCCTTGGGGATTGTTATTATAATAACTAGAGGTTCTTAAGAAGTCACACTTACGCATGCACAGAGGAAAAAAACACCTTCAGATTTGAAACCTTCTTACATTTCCCCCTTCATACCAAAAAAATGTTTTTTTGAAAGCCCTGATATTTACAAAAAAATATTACAATCACCCCCACACATATTTAAGACCTTAAAGCATGTGAACTTTCATAATTCTGAAGAATTCTGGTACTGCCATATATGTCAAATTGGTAAAGCATCCCAATCTTATAAATATTTTAAGTTGCTGGGATAAGAAATGAAACCTTCAGAAGCTGTGGATAAATCAACCCCGAGAAGATCCTGAATAAAGTCTCCACCAGAAGAGCTGAGTGTTGGGACGTCGTCAGAACTAAGATCAAGTAAATCAACGAGAGGAGCTGAATTGGATTTGGCAACACCATTTGGCAGTTTGGGCAGAGCCCCTTGTGAAGTTGAAACAGCAGCCGACACAGAACCGGCCCTCCTCCCACTATAAGTTGCTTCGTCAAGAACTGGCATCCTCTCGACCAATGCTGACCTGAACGAAAGAAAGAGAATTTAGAATCATGCACATACAAGAAAGAAGAAATAGGCGCCAAAAAGACTGCATACTTACCTTATTTTCCCATGCTTCTCGATGATCGAGTTAAATTCGATGGCTCGTTGTTGGAGCTCAAGGACAAGGCTTCCCTTCTGATGAAGTATGATATCATTTATCCTCCTATCATAAGTTACAGAGATCTTTGATAAAGTAACAAACCAAATTCAACAAATGATATGGCATTACCGACATAATAAGGACAAGTCATGCAACAGCTGAAGGTTTTTTTTCCTTTTTTTTTTTTATAATGCTTCCATAGTTTTAAATAGAGAAATAGCGATGAGAGGTGATTCGGCCATGGCCTGGAATGAGGTGGGAGGCAAGGCCATGGCGAGGCCTCGACAACATAAACGCCAAATGTAATAAAGCAATAATATAGATGGTGAGTTGCATATTTAACTTCAAATCGCTAAATCAACCTCAAATATCTCCCAAGAAGACAAGAACACAAGTCACAAATACATAAAACAAGAAAAATAGGATCGGAAAATACCATTTAGAAAAAAAAAATTAAAAAAGATGTAGAGAAAATAAAATAAAAGGCAGGCTAATTTGCTATTACTAAAATATAAATGTGATTTCTATTTCCCAATAAAAAATAAAAATTAAGTTTATGCTGGGTGAATCAAGTATAATAGAAATGAAAATGACAATATTGTCCCTAAAAGCAGCCTATTTGATGGAAAAATTGGACCTAAAATTGGCCTTGACCTGTTGGCCATTACAGGTTGCCACATAAAGTTCAAAATAAAAACTAAAGTAAAGGAATATGAAACGGGGAAACAGCAAAAGAAAAAGAAAAGAAAGTGAAAAAAAAAGGAAACCAAAAAGAACACATTCAGCGGGCGCGGCAGGCAGTGGACAGGGAAGACCTATGGGCCTTCCAGGTTTTGGATCCAAGTAGCTTATCAAGGTATTTGTCACTAATCTAAGAAACCCTAGTTTAGGTCCAAGGAGAGGGGCCCAATTTAAGTTCCAAGATTTATTTTATTTTATTTTTTAATTAAAGCGTAACTGGGTGAGGCGTTTCTCTGCATCGCCTTAGGAGAGAGACATTGCGAGGCGCTGCAAGGTGCCCTCCTTGGCGACAGGGCTGCCTCTGGCAGGGGCGAGGCGACTTGATATCCGCCTCTGCCACTCCTGGCATGTTGCCATTTAAAACTGTTTTTTCAACCAGCATATTATAACATGAAAAAGATATTCTCCACATATATGAAAATTTCCAATCAGTATCTCTATGCAAGCTAGCTGCAGGAGATGGTACGTAGAGAAGTATTGACAACATACTTTGAACAGGAAGGATAACGACTCGACAACTTCAATAAAGCAAGCAAACACATAGCTTGAGTTGTGAGATCTGAATGATGGCGTTTCATTGCAGTTTCCACTACATCCACCACATCGGTCTCCGTTACCTGTTCCAGAAACAAAATTATCAAAGCTGTGCAGGGAAAATGAAGACTTTCTGAATCACTATGACGCTAGATCAGAAATATTTAACTGTAAATCCCATCTTCATCATTATCACTTAGCTTTCTTCAGAAGTATCTCTTACATGCTAATCAAATTGGATTAGTTAACAAATTCGCATTACAACAACAATATTTCAGCACAATGCCCATGAAGTTGGATGCTTATACAAGGAACCTTATCAATTAGCAAACATACTAATATATACCAGGAATTACCATTGTAATTAACTATAGACAAACCATAAAACATGTAAAGATGTGCAATGAGGGGGCTAACAGAAACCTAAAACTTCAAAAATATAGCAAAGATCCTAAGGTTCATGACATTGCATACGAACACCATTTCATAATGCTCAAAACCAACCCCATAACATAAATATCATGATTTAATCATTTGGTTCAGATAATCCTCAACTCTAACTCCATAACTAGGACCACATGTCCCAACAGAATCTAAATGAAAATCAATGGCAATTTTGACAAAGTGAAACTATGGAGTGACCAACACATTGATCAGAACTAACACAAGAGTAAGACTGGGGGAACTGCCAGCCTTCAACATTTTCCAATTGGTATAATCTCATTGGAGGACATTGTACACACTTCCTTCTTGTCCAGGAGTTTGACGGGACACAGACAGAGACAAGAATACATGATAGAAAAGGAGCCGCAAAGGCATGGGACTCTGCTATCAACTGGGATACGTGGATTTGGGCTTTCCTGGTCTTTCGCATTTCTTTTAATGCCGCTCTTAAACAATTGTTTGGTAAAGGAAAAAGCAAGCGACCCCAAAAAACCTCCATGACTGAACTTCGCTTCGTCAATTACATCGAACCTCGGAATTCAATCCTGCCGCTCCTCAATTACATCGACCTTTAAACCTCGCCGAATCTAATCTACTGTGCTGCGCCGCATCGACAGTTACAAAAGCTCTCATAACTCCTATCTATTCTATAGAATGCCAATTCATCTCCTAAGGCTCGATGTAATTGACCCTTTCTATCAACAAAACCAGCAAAATCGAGGTTCAATGAAATTGACGACTATAAAGGAGAGGGGAGCGAAGTTGAAGGCTACACGACGAATGGAATGAACATTGACACTAGATCTGAGTTGGCTAACTAACCATTGTTTACAAAGTTTCTAACCTAATGGACTTATTGCTTAGCCAATCGCATTGTGATCAACAAGACTACTTGGTGTCAATTGACAGCATAAATAAACACCACTAATTAAGAGGTTAAGTTCAAACTTTGCATGTCCGCACAATACATGCAAATCTAGAATGTTTATGATCAAAATTAAGACAATTAGCAGAAATCATGAACTCACAGTAATAGGATCCTCAACACCAATGATGCCGGCTTTACTGACCAACATCTCCCCATATTCACCAATGCACCAAATTGCAACTCGGGCCAGAGTTTCCTGTTATGAACAGCAAATTTAAGATAAGGCCTACATAAATAGTCAATTGAGCTTTCTGAAAATTTAAGTCACAGCGGATTTAAGTCACAGCGGCGTTACAGCAATACCTGTTCACCAGATGATTGCACTGCTTTATACAGAGCTCTAACAGCATACCCATGGAGGTCAGAAGCATTCGTAATTACAATGATAAGACCATGCCACACTTCATCCTCTACATAATTTCCAGCCTGAAACATTATTACACAATCAATTCTCTCATGATGAAGTGCATGCATAATTTATATGCACGATGCATGGCCATCTCCATTTTCCTTTTACATTTTTATTAACATGGTGTTGGCATATAATAGTTAAGATGGTGCCGTTTTATTAAGTGTATTATACTATTATTTGGTACCACGATACTGAACAGCTTTGATTGTACACAATGTTTGCGCACCTACATATCAATGCATGTGCGAACTGACAATAGAAGAAGAAAACAGAAATTGCTCATTACCCATAAAATTCTCTCAATATGTTTCACTGATTGATATGAATATACAATTCTACTTCTCTTTATGCAAAGAGATACTCAGTTCCGGCTATGCCCACGGAAGTTTGATAATATAGCATAAGTTTACAGCACTAGTCAGCAATGTGATAAACTACGCACTAGGAAGCCTAAATTGGAAATTCTGGCAAGAGCTTTCATTTGCAAGAACTAGCAAGAGAGAATAAACATGTGGATGGAATATCTGCAGATTGAAAATTATACATGTTAACGTTTACAACTGATTGTGTGAATGAAGAAGATAATACAACGTTAAAAACATTAAATATGTAAAGCAGTATTTTTCTGAACAGTCGCATATGAGAAGGATGCAGCTAGGAATTCACTATTCCAGTAGACAACCATTTCTCTCCTAAAGGAATATTCATTAGTTCACTGTGTAGGTCCATAAAACAAACTGCACTACTAGAGAAGTTGCATACCCCAATTGCAATTGTGAGTTAGCACCGGAAAGGACCAGCAAGAGCGAAACTACTAGGGAGAAAATAATCCGCTATGCACCAACTAGATATTTGATCATCATTTTAGATTAATAATTCAGAAGCCACTTAATATGGTAAATAACCAAGTTCTAGACTATCTGACATACTGCAGTCAGATCTGTATATATCTACAATACTATTTCTATATTTCGTAAAAGACTTGTAAAGGCCATGCTGTTCCCGTCATAATCACAAGAGAATAAACCCTACAGCTAGCGATCTTTCTTCCAAAGTTTCATGATACACAGATTAGAGACACTGAGCACTTCATATAATGACAATGCAAGCAGAGTAAGAAGGAAAGGAAAACTGACGTACTAAGCATAACACATGAAACTATATTGGAAAACCATCAGAGAAACCTCCAACTTACTTTCAAGCTATTAGTTTAAATAGAAAAATAATAATAATAATAATAATAATAATAAAATAAGCATACCTCTGTGAGAACCTTCACCATCTGATCAATATACCATATTTTTTCAGGGGAAAACCTGAAGCACCACATAGCAGATTAAATAGCGTATGAGCAACAGCAGTATATACAAGAAGGTAATCATTGTTAAAGTTCATCGACTTATTTGTATATTACAAAGTAGGATTTCATAACTACATACGCTTGAAAATTGAGGGAAGAGAGACATTAGGATAATTATGTAAAATGTGAGTGTAGAAATAGAGATTAATGATTTGAATTGGAAATAGAAGTTGGAGAAAAAGAAACTTAAGGTTTTGATGCAACAACGTTTTTGTATCAGGTAGACATGAGTCGGGGTAACTGAATAGAGGGGAACAAAAACAAAGATCATTAATTTTTAGATTTCTGAACTATTGTTTTAAGTACAAGCCAATGTCTAACCAAATAAGACTCGGTGGAGTCAATAACCAATCAAAAGTGTAAACTTTTTATAGCTGGAAAGTATTATGCAAAACTCTTCTGTGTTTGAGTCAACCAAAAAACTTCACGATTTTGGTGTTAAACACACACATGCACACAAATGCACTAGAACATAATACACATCAATGATCACAACATAAGAATAATAAGACAAAGAGGAGAGCAAATCTTACTGATAACTTCAAATATTCCAACTTACTTCTCCACAATTGAGCAGATCTTGGCCGTGAGATCTCCCTTAAATTCCTCATCACTTACTTCCAGATAATCAACCAGTTCCTTTGTCAAAGACTTTGCGTTGCTTTCATTTACCAAAAGATAAACAAGCTCCAAAGCCCTTTTACGAATTGAAGCATCTGAATCCTGGCATAAAATAAGCAAAGATAGGCAACACTCTTATCAAATCCTGAAAAATCGGGAAATAACTCTATCTTTTCCTAGAAAAAATGCCATTCGGAGTTGGTCGGAGAAAGAAAGATAAATAGAAAAAACGGAGTAGAGAAGGTCATTAATCAGAATTCTGTACAAGGAACTGGACAGACTACAAGACAATTCATCAACACAACATGAATGTTGATTTGATGTCAAATGTAGGGGGGAGAAGCATAGGAAAAATATGCATTATACTTTTAAGATTCTGAAAGTCAACATTTAATAATCAACCAGGGCACCAGACATAATTCCGAAAACCCAAATGTTAGTAATTCAGTTCAAATGTTCTAGCCAAAAATCATGCATAATATCTGCGTATGAAATCGGTAGAATAAAGAGAAACTCACACAGTCAAATTTTAATTGTTACAATTTTGGTAAAAAAGATACCTTCACACATTCTAAAATTGTTGCACGATGCCTCTGAACTGCTTGACTATCTAATGCAATAGCTTTCATCAACATATTCAGTGCTACATATCTGGAAAAAGATAAGGGAAAGTTCCAATTTATCCAACAGTAGCATGAACCATAAAAAATGGTACCTAAGGAATATTAAGGGTCTGCTTCCCCCAAAGGAACCACTGTCTAACCTGGCTAAAAATAAAGGCATTATGAGCGATTTATTTTAGTGGAGTCAAGAAGCACATTTCAACGATTGTGGTCCAACAACTTGTTTGTTTGGTATTACTTCCATTTAATCCATTTAGTCTAGAAATAAAATTTCATAGCTGTGGAAATACAAAATTGATAGTTTTCTAGACAAGTCGACCAAATGAATGAAACTGTTACCTAATATTGTTGTCACGGCTGGATAGAAATCTCCCCAAAATATTGACGGCAAGAACCCGTAATCCACCATTATCTTCGATGCTCATGATTGTAGCAACACATTCATAAAGAATGGCATTACCTACGTTTTTATTTGACTCAGTTTTACTTGCCACCTAAATATAAAGGAAACAGATTTGATATTCAGTTATACAGTAAACATATCCTTTATATAAGCAGTGAAATTAAGAATAAAGTGTCAGCCATGAAAATTGAATGTTTTTTATGGGCCATAAACATGGGAAATTCTCTGAAGTGGACCACATTCAATTATTTTGCCCTTTTTGTACACTGTTTAGAGAAAGAGAGTGCATAAAATGCTAGATTACCTGGGCAAGAATATCATTCATAGCATCACTGGCATCAGCATCTCCTTGACCCAGCACATGCAAAAGTTTGAGCAATCTAATTTGAAGAAAAGGATCCGTGATACCCGAAATATCATACTCAGGTGCATATGGACTGTTTGCTAGATCCCTTAGAACTTTAACCAAGCCATCTATGCATTTCTAGATCAAAAATAAAAGGGAAAATAAATGGCAGAACATCAAGATCCATCTAAATTGGCTCTGCTTCCTCATCTCCAGAAAAACCCCCGGTTGGGATAGAAAAATTACCTTCCTAAAATAATCAAGTGCCTCCGAACTAACTTTACACATATCTGTACAAAGTTGCACCCCAGTTAATAAAACTCCGTGATGCTTCTCTTTCAGCAAGGCAGCAGCAGGATTTATGAAGTTCTCGGCAAGGTCTGGAACTTTCTTTATTATCCTTATTGTACATAATGCAGCCTGCATTATCACACGTTAAAGTCCTTCAGATCGCTCTTGACTCATGGTCTAAGTAAGAAAACTAAATGACAACATCCACTAAGTAAACATCACTAATTCAATTCCCTCAAAAAGAAAAAATAGAAATAAAAGGAAAAGAACACACAAATAAAAATTAGGATATAATCGAGTGGCCACTAGATTTTGTCATCAAACCCTTCACCCTTAAGCTCTACTTTGAGAGATAAATACAAATTAAACCACATATTTCCACCTTAATCAACATGTAATAATCCTAGAAAAGCATAAAATACAGTGAAGAAGCGACATTTGTTTCAAGATGTGCACAAAAATTAAATAGCCAACGTTAGAATCCCCTAAAGCAGATCACGTACAGCTGGGATTTTATTTTTCAAAATAGTGACTTAACTTAGAATGCATTAAAACTACTACGCAGAGTTCTCAAGATTATACATTACTACCATATCAATGAGAACTCAATAACTCTCATCATCAGCAATTCGATCAATAAAGCATTGTCAACAATGTGATACTCAGATACAATTTTTACATTATGCAGAGCCCAAGTCCAAAATAGGTCTTGAGTTTTTTGGGATGGCTAACTTTCTAACACCCACTACACTAAAAATATTATACAAACAAAATTATGTAGCTACTACTTAAAGATCATCACTTGAGTTTGTATTAATTTTTAACTGAAATAAATTATTCAAACTCTTTTTTATGCTTAAACTTTGAAATTAAATAATAATATTTGTATAATCAACGGGATAAACATCTTACAGCAACTAAGAGTCTACAGTCACTATACTCGTACTCAATTACGTTATATAAATATTTGGAGATGTTCAGGATCCATTTCGAATTATCGATATTTCCTGGAAGTCTCTCATCCACGTTAAAAAAAAAAAAAAAAAAAGGCTATCAAGCAGCTTTCTATGTTACCCAGACTCTTCTATTTAGGAAGAATACCCGTGTCATGTTGTGTCGACACTGGTGTGGGTATGAGTTTCGGGTGTGGCATTTTAGCCTAAAATGTTCAAGATTTCTAAACTATTGACGAGTCAGACGCTCATATCTCCACACCCGATACGCCACCCATATCCGAGTCCAGGTAGCATAGACAGCTTTAATTTAGTTATACTTGTTGAGGAGTGAGGGGTTCTAAAACAAGACATTAATCTTGGTGGATGGGCATAGACATCAATAGTTTCACAAACAAAACACATGAAAAAACTCCTCTCCCTCTATATAATGTGTAACTGCATAAGCAAGCATGTTGACAGTTCGGCTCGTCCATTTGCAATAAGCATAAATTTCTTCCAGCGCATCGTAGTGAACAAAAATCCAAAAAAATCTAACTCACATTCATAACAGGAAAATTTTGCTATCTAGTAATTATACTCACTGTTTCAGATCAATAATATTGTCGAATAGGTGTACTAAAGCATGTAATATACTGATGCAACATTGATAGCTGAAGTTTGAAAAGACTGCAAAATATATAGGTAACTCCATACAAAGATCCACATACTCAAATCGGACAATCCAGCTGAGAAAAATTTTCATGAACGGAATTCACGAGAAGTCGAGAATTAAGAGAGGCTTACTTTCTTCCTGATGTTAGGATCCCTGAACTGAAGTAATCTTTCAACTTCAGGAGCCAGGTCACGAGCCATTTCTGCAGAACATATATTACCCAAGGCACACAGAGCTAGTCCGACAATATATTGGTTCATATGATTTAAATCTCTGGAAACAAGTTAAGATATCTAAAAAAGTTCATAAAAGTGAACATAAGTGCTGAACTTCCAATTATATAGAACCAAAGAATTAGGTGCCTTCCTAAGATACCACTCTTTTTTATGCGGCTTGGATAAAGATAAAATAACTTGTCTTAACACTAAAATGGATTTCCGAATGGATACTGTTTTATTGAGTTGGTAACAAGCATCAAGACTTCCTGTCTTTCATCAAGAAGCAACATAAGGCCAAGATATCCAATCCTCTTCTCAGGGAATCCTGGAGATGCAATTAACTTTAGGCATTCCATTTGACCAAAGTGTGTTGGATAGCCAAGCATGTGGATGAACATTAGCTTTGCCAAATTGCGATGCCTATAATCTTGGTCGTTTTCACTAATAGCATCTCGAATAGAGGCACATTCTTTTCTTACAACAGCACGCTCCTCTGCTGCAGTTTTGCAAGCACGTATTGCCCTAATCATATCCCTGAAAACAAAAGGAGATATTAATGAAGAATGGCTCAATTTGATAGTCTGAAGTTGATAAACCGCATAAATAAAACAGAACCAACAGCAAAACAAAGACAAGTTTAACTGCGGAACCATAAGGCGTGCATGTTTCTTTGAAAAAGTATCAGCACTGCCAGAAGACAAGTAAAACTATAAATGTAATGCAATAAAAGGAAAATCTGATGTTACTTTGAAGTTATTGTGGAGTGTGATTCTTTAATGACCCAAGCAACAAAAAATTCCAGGGAAAATGATAGAGATTGAGAAAGTTGATTATTTACTCAAGGAAAGGGAAAGCTGGAAAGGAAATAAATTAGTGATGCAATATTGGAAGCCCAAATCATGGGAATAGCATGAATCCTAGGATCCTGGCCTTTTGGGCATGGAAACTATCAAATCGTTATCTTACTTTTTCTTTATTATCTTACTACCTACCTAAAAAAAGGATTGTCCAAAAGAATAATGGAAGAGTCCACGAGAAGATGCTAGAAAATGGCAAGTAATTCCAGAAGTACTGAATGACACTGTATTAAATTAAATGAAATTATATGAATAAGTTCATCAAGCAAGCAAACATCCAAATAATCGTGACATAAATACATAATGCATTCACTAATTGTAAGATTCTACATCATGTATGGCAAGTACATGGTGGATTTCCTATTCTTTTCTTTATCCATACCTATGAAATACAATAACATGGCAAGCTAAAGTTAGTATTTGGTGCCATAACCAAAATCATGATTTTGGAGAACTATAAAAGTACTCTACAAATTTGACAAAAAATAATACTTAAATGCCTTAAACCAACTACCGATTCCAATACAAAAAAGACATAATTGACAATGTCAATTTGTGGCAGATAGATCTGTATGAACCACAAAGGTCAATAAAATCCCTTCTTTAGGCCACTTTAATCCTTTCATAACCTTAGCTGCCTAAGAGTGCCAGTTCTTAGGTTCAGGGATAACCATAGTCTTCATCTCTTTGTTTGTGGAACTGCCAGCCTGCACAAATCCTTGAGTTGTTCCAGTGACATCCAATACCGATGCGGATGGATCGAACAACTACCAGAAGCTGAAGAAAAGGCAAAAGAAAAGAAACAAAAAAATGAAAATAAAGTATCTTCACTCTTAGTTAGGTAAAGGAGCCACTGGTCGCCAAAGACCACCGGGATCAGGTCGTCAGGCTCGTGTGAAGGGAAAGCACAAGGCAACGAGGGGCAAAGAAGTGTGATTGAGATCTATTTGTATGGAAGCAAAAACACTAAATTGATGCCCTAAAATCAGGTTTAGTGCCTCGACTAAGGCGGTGATAAGGCCAGCGCCGCCTTCTGCAAGTGCGCCTTGCCACGCTCCACGCCATAGTGACATGATGCATATCAGATTTTCGACGGGCCAATGAGCGGCAACCACAAGAGCCGATCGCTGAACCTCGGGCAAACTCTCGCAGCAGGTGCTCCGGGCCGCGCCCCAGCGCCAGACCGGGCGACCGCCATGCCCGAGTGGCAGCAGCCGGTTACGCGGAGGTTCAGGCGGCAAGCACGGACAACATCGAGACACAGGCAGCGCGACAGGCTATCGACAAAGCAGACGGCACGGGTCATCGAGGCAGACCGAAGAGACCGCGCGGACGTCGACAAGGCAGACCGAGGAGTCAGCGCGACTGGCTAGGCAACCACACGAGACAGTGCGGCCAGAGAGGCGACCGCGCGAAGCAGCGAGCACAACACGGGTGAGACGTGCGTGGGCGACGCGCTTGCTGGTGGTGAAGGTGATGTGCACGCGGGCGGGCAGCAGCCGACGATCTCGCGCAGTCGTGGCGAGCGCGGATGTGACGCGCAAGCGCCTGAGGACCTGGCACGGGCGTGATATGCAAGCACGCGAGGCCCTGTCTTGCGGGCTAAGATAGCGAATCTTCTAGATAAGGGATCTTCTAGAATTTCTCTAGCATTAAAATTTTATCCATAGCTTATTATTCCAAGTTTAGTTTGTTTAGGTGATTGGTTATTTGGGTAATTCTTAGGACTTTCCTTAGGACTAGAGTTTAATTCCTCATAGGCTTAGTATTTCTTTTGTTTAAATACCCATGTTATTATGTTCGAATTATTCAAGCAATAAGATAAGAAAAATTGCTCGTCTTGAGCACAAATCTCTTGTGATTAACAAGGCCATTAGTACGTGTTTTCACAAACTATCGTGTAGAAGCAAGGCCGATAGCGCGCGCTTCTACGCAAAACAAGTCCACGATACACGATCTTCATCATGACGCCATAGCATCACCTCTTAATAAGTGGTAAAAACGTTTATCATTGGTCATTTACATGCCCAAAAGATTTCGACATGACCCAATGAACGGCAAAAGTCACATTTTCAAAAAAGTGAAACCGAAAATTAAATAAGCACTCATTAATTAAAGTACTTCATCATGATTGCACAGAAAATTATTCTGCCCAGAGGCTCTTATTGATTACACTATGCAAGTGTCAAATATTTTAGTTCCAAACCTTGTCTTGGCTGACAGCTTGTTTAAATGTTTTCCTTGGCATTTCAACTTACACATAAACAATATAATGAGCAGTTTCAAATGTTGTCCAGTATGGAGCAACACCCTTAAAATTCCTATGCTTCTACCAGTCGACCTCTACCTCCCCACCTCATTGCAAATCTCGTCAATTTTCTAGATAAAGTCTATCAGAAACGCCCTGCAAGTCAATTCGACATCATCCTCCTCCAATTTAGGGCAAGAATATTCAGCTTGGCATCATAAATCTAACAAAATTTTGCTATCCCAACTTATTGTTTACACTTCTTATTCCAAGAAAAAAACTACATCAGAAACTCATCTCCCAATGGACCCAATCCCTACAGTTCTAACTATACGCAAGTCCTATTTCATGCTTAATTTGTTCACTGCTCAACATCACTTGATAAAATTTATAGTAACCAACTTTTCTCCAATTCTCCAGGTGGCAAGGAGATGCTATTTGGCCAAATTTAAAAATGGTTTGAAACCCTATAACTATCACACACATGGAAACCAACTCCTACATTGGATCTTCAGACAGAATGCTATGATGCAGTTGAGAAACACTGCTGCGAACAAATTGCTCAATGTAGTCTTAGAATCCAACTAAAATCTGCCAACAAGAACTTCAGCGACAATTATTTATTACTTAAGTAGTCGAGTGCACAAAGTTTGATCTTACACCAATCTCAACATTCTAGTCTTTTTACAAGTATATTTCTCAATCCTTCCTCAATTTAGTGATCAGTAAATCCCTATAATCCTAAAACTGTCCCCTACTATCTGGATACGATGTCATCCGTCCCCATAAAGCATTACAAAGTTCAACATCCAACGATCTAAACACCTGCTCAGAGCAATCAAATTCCCAAAATGAAACCCCAAAATTCTGATCTACGAATCCAACTGAACCTATATTCAGTAGCCACATCACGGAATATCCAGTTAACCCCAACTAAGCTAACGCACTCTGAAGCAGAACCGCAGCTATTGGATCTCCACGCTTGATACATTAACAGTCGACTGGAATTCAAATATACAAGCAAATTGACGACACACGCACGCATGCAAGTCCACAAAAGAAGAGAAACCATCACTAACCTCAGGCGCGTCCCAGAGGAGAAGGGATTCATGATTGGGTCCCTGCTGAAGCTCCGAGATAGATCTACCAGATCCAGCTGTAACTCTTTTTGGATACTACTCGGACTTATAGCTTAGCCGCTGCCGGAAAAATTGTTAACGCGTACGAGATCAGAAATTAAGCGACGCAGAGATCCAGCGACGTGAAAGAACACAATTTGGATCTGAAAAAGTGAAAATGGAGAAAACACAATGGCTGCTTCGGAGAATTATATTAAGTAGCAATCAATTAAATTCGATCAATTCTAATGGCGAAAAACTTGAGATTGTGAAGTAAAGAGAGAGTGAAATTAGAGAGAACGCCATCTCTTGTTAAAATCACAGGTGCGGGGTGGCAGGTAGATTTTAGAAGGTGTTGCTGTTTACGGCCCCACGTACCACAATAGACACAATAGACTGTTTTGCCCTAGACATTTTTTCCGTTGACATAATTAGGTACCATAATTAGGGGTGAGCAAAATCAAGCCGAAATCAAAAAATTGCACCGAACAGAGCTATTCATTAATGTTCGGTGCGGTTTTTTGTAAGTTCGGTTATCGGTGCGGTTTGGGTTTTGAAAAACTGCAAGTATTTCGGTGCGGTTCGGTTTTCTGTCCGAATGGTGCGATTTTAACCGAACCGCACCGAATGTCATAAAATGTCACTTTTTTTATTTTTTTAATAAAATATCACCTTAATTTTATTAATTTTACTTACATAACTTTAATTGGTGGTTATATTTTTGTAATTTCGGTTAACCGAAAAAACGAATAGCACCGAACTGAAATTTCGGTTCGGTGTTGTTCGGTTTTTCCTTATATAGCGGTGCGGTTCGGTGAAAAAAATTAAAAATTCGGTTTTCGGTTTTTTCGGTGCGGGTGCGGGTTTTGACCGAACCGCACCGATGCTCACCCCTAACCATAATAAGTCGGTCGGCCAACAATACTGGTCGAACCACCATTGGTCGGCCGACGATTGCGGTCGTCACTGCTCATAATTTGGGGATTTTGCTGTATTTTCTATAGAATTGTTTTGAGATTTTTTGTATTTTTTTCTTTCGAATTTCTTACCCTTTTTTTATCGCGACGGTCAAACTTTGACTGTAACGGTCCAATTGTAACTGCAGCTGCAACATTTTCGATTTTGACCGTGGGTTGACTCGGGTCTTGGATCGACTCGACCCGGCCTAGATAATTAAAAAATAAATAAAAAATATGATCATCGTCAAATTTCTGGACCATTGACCCAATCCTTGTTGATACCTAATTTTGGCCTCGCCTACTAAAATATTACACGTGGATATATATATATATATATATATATATTAAATAAATATAAAATAGTTGGTTCTTCCATTTGATTTACATTGACCGAGTTCTCATAAGGCAAGACTGTCCGCCTCCAGAAATCGCCAGCCCGACCTGGATATCACAAAGAAGCCACCTTGACAGACGCATTAATTGTTGACAAGACATGTACCAGTCGAAGCAGTTATTTATTGGGCCCTACACGATCATATTTGATTTAATGACATTTGTATTTGTAAACATTGTAAAGGCCCAACATATATAAGGGTCCATTAGATATAGAAGCCCGAAATATGTATGTGTGAATGGGTTAAGGGGTCTTTGAAGACTTTTTACTTTTTCCTATATATAGAAGAATATGAAGGCGGCAAAGAGAGAGATGAGATTTTTCACTTATCCTATAACAGAGGCATCGCCTCAAGATTTTTCTCTCCATCCAAAACATTTACAGAGCTTTTTCAATAATCTTTCTTGCTTTTATTCTACACAAAAATTAATTGTCTTACAATACTAAAAAATCACTAAAAAATCATATTTATCTTACACCGATTATTCTCAGAATAGGGGTGTATATTTTGGTTGTTACAATTTCGCATAACAACAATCCTGTTTGACCACAAGTTTGACTCAAGTCTTAACTTAGCTCGGCCAGAATAATAAACTAGTGCGGTACTCGTGCGATGCACGAGCTAGTTTTATTATGGTAAGCATTTAAATTGGATAAATGAAAAAACGTAAAACGCATATATTAGAATAAAACAAAATGTAACTTATATATTAATAAACGCATTCTTGTATACAACATTATTTGTTTGCCTTTTTCTTAAATCGTCTACCGCCACAACTTAAAATTTCCAAACACTTAAGATTCGTAGTGCGTGAAACATGCATAAAGTTGGCCGTGAAGGTTACATATATTAGGATTCTAAACAGGTTTAAATAAATAAATTAAATTATTTAGCAGGATATATCTTATATGATTTATACTTGTTTTATGGAGATTGCATAGCAAAATATAACGGATATCGTAAAACGTCTTTCTTGATAACCTATAGTTAATTCGAATTTTATATTGCAAAAAAAATAAAAAATAAATAATAATAGTTTAATAGGAAGTTCATTTATATGAGAATATGTGATTGTATTTTTTCTAATTGAAAATTTTCATTCAGCCAATTTTTAGTTCAGCTAGATTTTTCGAATAAAAAATGAGAAAGGATTTTGATTTTTAGAAAATCGTAAACACTACCGAAATCTACCAAAATTAAATCTACAATACCTATCATTTTAGGGTGCATTTAAGATTAATCGATTTTTGGGGTTAATAAATTAAAAAAATTAAAAAAACTACCGGCATGCAATAAATGTAGGCCGATTTTATGGCAACTCAATGATAAGGGATTTAAAAATTTAAATTTTATATTTTAAATGAGACTTAATTGTTTTCAATTAGATTTTTTGAATAAAACATGAGAACGGATTTTTATTTTTATTTAAATGAGAATGGATTTTGATATCTGAAATTTTCAAAAAATACATCAACAAAACCCATCAATTTAGGGTGCATTTATGGATGACCGATTTTTGGTTAAGATTAAAAGAAAATTAAAAAACTGCTGAAATTGGAATGCGTTAAATGTTGGTTGATTTTTATGTTAATATTTTTTGTAAATAGGTTGTCTTTTTATATATTTATAGATTTGAAGATACTTACAATTTTCCTAAACTATTTTGGAAAAAAATACATGTCTAAAAATATTTAAACTTAATATATATATATATATATATATATATATATATATGTGTGTGTGTATGTGCGTATATGTATATATAGTTATAATATGACATGATAAAATATTATATAAAAGTATCTAAAATTTTATATGCCTAAATAAAGACATTTTAAATTTTTTGAGAGAAAATTTACCTAGTATATATAAAATAAATATTGACATGATCCCAAATTATGACGGTACTTCTCAAAATTTGAGTACATAATATTTCAAAATTATTATTTTTTTTATAAGTTTGTTACCGTTAAAAAGAAATTTTGTACACATAATAATTTCGCTTTATGCAGATTTATTAAGTTTACAAATACAGCTCAGAGATTAATGTAAACTGTAACAAATATATATAACTAATATTCAAATAAAAATTGAAGACAATATTTAATTCTACATTTCTTTTTATAACTTTTTATTGTATGTAGTTTGGGAGAGCTTCTTATAACTTTTTATTGTATGTAGTTTGAGAGAGAAATATGTGATAAATATACTAAAAATCTCTAAAATATTATATCACATATATAAAAAGTATATACAATATTCTATATTATTCTTGAAAAATGTTTGAAGCCACTTGCTAAATTACGGAAAATCTGTCAAAAAAATACTTAAGTTTCACCTCATACATGTGTGTGTATATATTTATATATATATAGAGCTCTTTAGTATTTGTCTAATGTTTAAAATATCTAAAATATTATGAAGGTTAATAATTTTTAAAAATTATTAGTATTTAGATGAGTGAAAATTATTTTTTTTTAAAGAATGGAGAATTTATGTTAAAATATCTAAAATATTATAAAGGTTAATAATTGTTAAAAAATATTAGTATTTAGATGAGTGAAAATTATTTTTTTTAAAGAAGTGAGAATTTATGTCTAGAAGAGTTTAAATAATCTCTAACCAATACATCAAGGCGATTTGTTTCACATATATCAAAATTGTTGGACAATTACTATTTTTTAGGACACAAAAACTTGGCGAAAGAATTTATCTAGATTAATGGCGGAATGAATTTATCTAGATTAATAGCAGTAAATATGGCAAGAATCTTCTAAAATATTATTCTTTTAATATAATTATAGATTGAAAAAAAAAAAAAAAATGGCTGCTGGACCATGGCTGTAAAAATGCATGACCCTAAATCGAGCCGGTTAAAATCTAGACCAGGCCTGAACTCATGGTCAACGAGTTTGACCAGGCCGGGTCCGTCGCCATCTCTACCCACGACCCAACAAAACCGAGAATGTTTTATTTCCCCTCACTACTCACTTGGAATCCACTCTCCGTTATTCATCAATGTATAAAAACGCAAAACCCCAATCGGCTCATCACTCTTCCCTCAAAGCTCAGAGATCTATAATGGCTCCCTCAAAGTGTTACGCTTTCGCCTTTGTCTTCTTCACCTTCCTCCATTTTCGCCCAACCCCTGCTCAAGGTAAAGGATAACAAGAACAAATACACAGTCAAAATATAACTATATTCCAGTATAGCTATTTTTTTTTTTTTTTTTTTTCAATTTTCTTAACCCTTTTGACATTCACCGGTAGGTGATGGTGGGAAACTCATCTTTGAAGACGGCTACACAGTCACCACAGTTCTTGACGGCGACAAGACGAACCTCAAAGTGAACCCTCACTCCATCCATCAACGCTCACATCACTTCATACTTCTCGACTCCGTTGCCAGCACTTTCTATACAGTATTAATCCCATCATCCTCCAATGGTAGCCACCTCTTATATATTACCTTTTAATATTTTTTTTTCCCATCATAAACTGATTAGTATTGTTTATTATTGTTATTTTTGCACTGAATGAAACGGAACAGATTATGTGGGTTCAATTTTTTCATCAACCATTAGGATGGAATGTGTTTCATTGGTTTTGTGTTGTTCTTGTGTGCAGCATTATGTAAGGGATTCGTTGTAATTTTCGTGTTTATTGGTTTATTGGGTTTCGAACTATTTGAAATGGGGGGAAAAGGAAAATGGTTGGCGGTAATATAATTTTTACTTTGTAGAGACTGTGATAAAGAAGCTGACTGGAAATGGAGGGGCTGGGTATCTGGATGGTGGCTTGGACTCGGCAAGGTTCAACAAGCCAAGGAGTTTTGCTGTTGATTACAACGGAAATGTGTATCTGGCAGACCAGCGGAGTATCAGGAAGATCACCAGCACAGGTATATATAATCACAAGGCATAGTTAATAAACAGGGACTTGAAAATGGAAAAAGTCAAAAAGTTGTGGGAGACTTGCATTCTTAGAGCTCAACGATGATATCAACACGTATACTGATTTATTGGGCATTTTTAATACAAAAGAAATAAACTTCCAAGTTATGTAGATATCTAGCATGGTTAGTAGTTGAATGTTTTATTAAAGAAAGTGTAGAATGTACTGATTAGGAAGAAACTAATAATGATAAGGAAACACGATATCTTGTTTGGCATTTTGGCACATAGCCGTAGAAGTTGCACAAGGCGGTTAATTGAGATCTGAATATGTTGGAACTGTAAATTAGGTATAATTGCGTTACATCCACTTTCAAGATTTATTAGAGGATGTTATTAAGTTTTTGCATGTTTTTAGGAAAGGTAATCTGCAAAAGCGACGTTTTTCAATTGCGTTGTTAGAATTTCACGTACCACAATTTGTTGCAATTCTTAATCACATTACTTATTTTATTTTGTGCTCTGTTCTTTACCCAAAAATTGAAGTGAGTTGAGTAGCTAAATTAACTGTAATTGGTCTTGTTAGTCAATATTTTTTGTCTAGCTGGTGAAATGTGAATGATTTATTACTTCGAATGATGAGAATATATATTGTACTCTAAAATCTTGCATATCCTCATATTTGGAGCATCTGCAAGTCTGTAGAGAGAAGATGTATCATTCGTGCGTTCCAAACGTAGCCCTGACATCTTTTTTTGCCGCAAGCATATGTGTGTTCCAAACACAGTCTTAACATCTTTTTTGCTTCAGTTGGAGTGGGGTCCTTATTTTTCTTGCAAGGTTATTCAAATCTTATTTTTTGTGTGATACTTTGATGACATATAAGGTGTGACCACAATTGCTGGAGGCTTTTCACAAAAGGCTGGCCGTAAAGATGGCCCTGGACGGGATGCATCATTTTCAGACGATCTCGAGCTGACCTTTGTTCCCGAAAGATGTGCTTTGATGATCTCTGACCATGGTAACAGATTAGTTCGTCAGATAAATTTAAAAGAAGGAGATTGTACAAAGCATTCCGGATCTGGTAAGCATTCGGGCTGTTTTTATGAAAAACTTCTTAAAGATTCTCTATATTTTCTTCTGAAATATTATGCATCGAGAAACAACTTCAGTTCTCTTTTCTTAATGGCATTTTGTTAGGAGTAACAAATCAAGAGAATGAGATATGAAATTTTATTAGTGATAAAATAGTAACCACAAGCTTAAAGAGCTTCCTAACAAGAACAAACCCTGCTCAATAGCTAAAGCTATTACAATATACAATATGATTTTTATTACCTGCCTTCCTCCATAAATAATAACAAATCAATCCAAATCCCAAAATCATCCCAAATTTATAGATTTTCTTCTTCTTTCCTGAGTTCCTTAACTATTATTTATTATTCAATTTACTTTGCACAATTTATGCTTGCTTCATGCGATCTCTATCACAATCGCTTGATATTGTACAAGAATTTTAGCTGTGTGCAAATAGTCCAACTACTAACAGTCATGTTTCTTCTTCTGGTTAATTCTGATTATAACCTATGTAATCACAAAAAAGGCCCAGTTATTGTTCCAATGTAGAAGTGCCCATCTACTTCTAAATTTGACCGACTGTTTATTCGTAGAAACACTCTACTCACATATATGCCAAATTAGGTTTCACTTTATATCTATTATAGGGACTTATATTGTTTATGGAGATTACAAAGTTACTTGCTATCTTTTGCAGTTTTGGGGACCACCTCTGCCTGGATTTTTGGTCTCGGGCTCTCTAGCTTGCTTGGCCTAATCGTTGGTCTCGTGATTCGTCCATACCTTATTCCACTTGTGAGTGCCCATCCATCACGGCATGCTTCCAAGAATTTATAGAAGTAAAATAATATCCTTCAACTCTAACAAATGCACTTTGTAGACAGGAAGGTCACACAGCTCTTCAGTCCAGCTGGACATGGACACATTGCCCAACGAATCTGGGGAGACAAATAGTGATGCTTTGTTACGGCATCAAAAGCGCAGTTGTTAATTCGAAAACCGTATTTTCACTTTCTCGGCAGATGATCATTTTGAGCCTCTCTCAGTTATCTCTAACCTTACGTCCTTGGATGGTGAAGCCTCGCGGGACCCGTGAAAAGACTGTATCTTTGATGGACTTGGATGAATTATCTTCTGATTATAGTAGTAATAGTTTTAGTAATAACGTAATGGTGTCACCAGAGGTAGATGCTGAATTAAAGGATTTGCTCACTTTCGATGGAAGGGAAATGATGGTACTTACGAATGGAATAGAGGAGCAAGAAAATGGAGAAAGTATTGATGTTTTGTTAGACAAGCACAACAAGATAGATGGTATGATAAGGGATAATCTCGTTAACTTTGAAGAGCAAGCGCGCAATGTTCGCCCATCTGTGGAGTGTGGCTCGGTGGGCTTGGTTAAGCGGAGATGAAAGTAGTATAGTGGTGGTGTGATATACTAAATATCTTTTGCTTCCTGATGAACACCTTCTGATGAGTAATCTTTACGTTAATGTTAATATATCTGCCTTCTAAACTTATGCTTTGGCTACCTATTTGGTCAATTTCTGCTTGCTTATGCGTTTGTTCAAATCGTTGAACTGTTGAAAAATCGAAATTTGTAATCCAAACAAATTGAAGGTTCGACGGGTCTCTCTCTCTATCTCCTCTGTCAAAGTAAGGTTGGGTTTTAATTCTACATAAAAATAAATAACATATAAAATGAATACCATCACGTATATATTGAAAGCTGCAGACATTGCAACAAACAAATTGTATAATGGATGTCTGTTTCTGCTGTACGAGTCTGTGTTCCACGCAGATAGCATTCACAATCTTTTACCAATTTCTAATTATTTAGTGCATTTGATCTGACATTCAGATTTGACATTCAACAATTGAGTTTTGAGTAAGCTAAAAGAGCTTTTGTCTCGGCATACATACAATTTTTTTTTCACTTAACAGAAAATATATAAAACATACTAATTCTACTCACCCAATAAACAGGTTCCCACTCTCAAACAAACTAAATATAATTTCCCACCTAGCTATACCTCAAGATTCCAACCAAATTCAGCCCACCAAGTAATAATCTCAGAAATTAACAAACAAGTTCACAAAATCACGGCCCGCGCACGTACCCAGCCCGAGCCCGAACCTTGTTGTTATCATAAGCATGGTGGTCCAGAGGCTTGATCACCACACTTTTTCCCTCCTTGTCCTGTTCTTGAATGGCCCCAAACACAATCTCAGAACTCTGCTCATAGTACGTCTGTGGGGGAGCCGAGCGATACATGAACTGATTTTGGTGACTCTTGCTCTGCTTCTGGAAATCACCCTCCCATCCTGAATAAAAAGCCCTGCTCTGTTTAAGCTGCTGCATTTTCTCTGAATCTTTTGCCATGAAAGCATACGTCTTTTTAGGAGTCGGTGTCCTTGTGTCGATGGAAGGGGGCTCATCCTCGTCGGGTATGACATAACTTTCTTGAACGGGCCAAGTGTTGGAGTACTTGATTTGCTGCTTGTATTGATGATGTGGGTCTGGGTGGGGAGGCTTTCTCTTGAAAATGGGGAAAAAGCCGGATAAGATTTCGACTGTGGATTCCATGGTTTGGGCCATTAGCCTCGTTAGGGATGCAAAAAAGGTCTCGTCTTGTTTTTCCGGATAGTCCTCGGTCGGGATTAGCGGCTGCCGCATGGAAGACTTCAATGGCTTTTGATACGAACCCTGAGAGACACCCTCGTTCATTGCTCCATTGTAATCCTTCAGTTTTCACAAACAGAGAAGAAAAACATAAACTAATAATCGGGTGTAATAATTTTTTTTGTTTATTCATTTATTTTCTACATTATTTGTCATTGTGTAATGCTGTCAACACTCAACAGTTGTGCTATTTTCAAAGAAACATTTATTCGCTACAAGAATGGATAATTACAAACACCGTCACAATTTTTTCGGACATAAGTTTAATGGCAAATACAAAATTTTGAGGCCAAGTGCATATTTTTAATTTCAATAGGGAACTGGATATTTTTGTGACTGGTAAAGCTTAGATGGAAGTATATATAACGCACATTTTGAGGCAAGACGATTGAACCGACCCTACGCTGAAGCAAAGCTAGCATGTAACCAAAGAAGCCAGCAGCCACAAGCACGGCAAATCCTGCACATAACTTAGGATTTATACATATGATATGATGATATGAACTAGAAAGATAGCTGAAATAATCAAACATGAAATCAAGCTTAATATTGCATTTTGTTTTTTACCAAGAGGGAAACCACTTCCATACTGATAGGCACAATCGTCAAAGTGGAGCTGTATCTCCCTAATTGCCTTATTTCCACGGTCGATAACAAGAAGAGAACAGCTGCTTCCAAGATATACAACATCAAAATCATTTGAAAATTTCGCATCTTCACTTGGTCCATCCACATGTCCACCCCCACGGCCCCGTTTACCTCCTCCAGCTATTGTTGTGACCCCTAACAATAATAATCAAAGATAAAATGGAACAGTTTAAAAATTTGAACATGATCAACATTCACTGGAAGTTATGTACATAACTGGTTTTTCAAGTTTGGAAGTCATTCAATATCACAAACTTATCCCTGAGTTTCAGTATAATCACAAAACAGCTGGCTATCTTTTAAAAATTTACAGTTACAAAGACATCCCTCGAAGCTCATCTCTAATACAAGTAGTACCCCTTGACAGCCCCTAAATAGATGCAGTATGGTGAACAGAAACGTGCAAGAACTTGCAATTCAGATTCTCATAAGATAGCTGGGCTTTTACTGTAACGAGGCCCCATACCTCAAGGGTAATATACTAGTATTTGTAGTAATCTATAATTATTATCAAAGCCTGCAAAAAATATCTCACGTCTCCCCACTTGAAGAATTATAAGTAGAATCACCTGTATCACTAATCTTCCGAATAGCCATATTATCTGTGTCGGCAATGTAAATGTTTCCTCTATCATCAACTGTAACCCCCTTAGGATGGTTCAACCTGGCCTCTCTCAATCTACCATCAACATGTCCTGCGTATCCATCTGGGGACCCCGAAACCAATCTTGGCCTGCTGTCTACAATTGTACAAAATGTTTACCAAAGTTAGAATCCAAATCAATAAGCACGTGGAGGATGTGAGAAAATGCACAATCCAGAGAATGAGATCTTGAAATTTGAAATGTAAACCAGAACAGCCTTCTATAAGTATCAACAAAGGATGAGGGTTATAACATTTCACAAGCTAGCAGGATTTCAAAAAAGTGAAAGAACAATTTGCAGACAAACAAAAAAAGTGGAATCACTAAATCGAAAAGAAATTTGAAATTCCGCCAAAACTCAAATTTCACAAGAGCCAGGCCATCATCAAATATGCATCATCAGCAAAATGCAGCCAATAGATTGTGAATTTGGAAAAAAAGGGAGCACAGCCCACTATCCAGAATCAGAAGCTAAAAGTATCTATACTTGGTGGAAAAGAAGACTACACTTAAAACACACATGATGCAAACAGGAACAGAATAAAATGGAATATTACTCCAGGAAACTTACACAAGGACAAAGAGGATGAAATCTTGTAAAGGTTGCTGTTAGCAGAATCAAGAATAAGAAGGTCCCCATCGGGCAAGACCTCGACAGAGTAAGGTTCGATCCCAAGCTTGCTCCCATCAAACACAGTCTCCACATTATAACCACCCTCAAATTTCATCATCGGACGCCCTGCTATAGCTGCATATATAATATAAAATATTTCCTCATCGCATTTAGATCAAAAAAAGGCAAATCAAGAAAGCACCCAGATATAAGATAGATATAAAAAATTAAAAAAAAAA